TGACTTCTAGAGGAAGCTTAGGTCCTTCAAGGTTTGCAGATCTGCTGTCTTCTGCCATCAGTCAGGGACTTACAATGTTCAACAATCTGAAGAAGACTGGTTTTGTTCTGGAGACTAAGAGCTCACATCAGTACTGTTTAGTCCGGGTTAATCCAGCTCTACCTCGTTGCCCAGAAGGTCCAGTTTATTTGGAGATTTATTTGGGAATGCACAATCGAACTATCATGCAAAAATCTGGTTCTCTACAAACCTCAGTCTGGGTTCAGTTGAAATGAACTCTGGTTCGGTTCAAATACATATGTGAACGTCAAGCGGTCAAAGGACCACCTCAAAAGCAGGAAATGGTCTACAGTGCAGGGCATTCTGGGTAAATATAACCAAAACAAAATTGTGAGTCTAGTGCTAGCAGGAGAAGTGATCTGCTGTTTCTTCTTTTTTAAATCAAAGACAAAAGAGAAATCCTACAACCACTAAAATTTGTCACTACTGCATTTCTGTTTACATTTCTTGAAGCAGGAAGTTGTGCTCAGTGTCTTCTTTAAAAGCATTTCCTTCAGTGGTTCTTGGTGCAGCGCCACCACTGGTGAGGAGGGGAATAGGTTTTTCAAGTGCAGTGGGAAAGTGACCTGCAGCAGCTGAAAATGTAACAAATGTTGCTATTTGTCTCCCAAATGAAACTGGATTTATCAGACTATCAGATGTGAAAACTCTGAGAGATGATAATGCAAGGAAGGCCTCCTCATGAAATCAAGAAAATGATGGACAACCCTGAACAACCTCTTCATGAGCTCTACAGGTGACCCTTCAGCATCTGCAATAACTCTTTGAATAACATTGTGTAACATGAGCTACAACATTCCCCTCTGGGATTAATAAAGTATGTGGAATTGAACTGAAATGAATTATTACCATTGATGTTTCCGTTAGATCTTCAACACAGTGAAACTGAATATAAAATATAACCTTAGGCAACGCTAAACCTGAACACGACACATATGAGCTGCAAATCTCTGCAGATAGCATTAGCTCTCATCAGAACAAAGCTGAGCTACTGGAAAGGATCAGATCATGAATAAGTTGTGTATTTCAAAGAGCAGAAACTTCCTTAGGATTGTTCATTAAATCAGCCAAGTCTTTTCCTTCTGATCCATTTGCACTGTTATTGTACGCCTTTATCATCTCTTTGATCTTGGAGAAGAAACAAAATCATCACCAACACTTTGCTCACTGTTACATCTCAGAAACACAGAGATGAGTGGAGAGAAATGCAGTTTTTTTTTTTTTTTTTTTTTTTTTTTTTTTTTACATCACGGGTACTTGACATACTTTTCACTTCAAAATAAAACAAGTAACAGATAAAAAAATAAGAAATACTCCATACATAATTAGCAGTTATTATTACATCAATGCTCACCAGCAAATGTTGCAAGATCTGAATAGACGTCAGAAATGTAAAGTTGTCTCACAAAAACAAGTGTACGTAAATCTTCACTGAACCAGACTTTAAGCTAAATACTTAGCTGGCTAGCTAAACATTTAACTTGCCAATTAAATATGTAGCTAGCTAGTTCAATATTTAGCACAAAGCTAAGTGCTTGTCTCGCTAACTACATATTTATTTTGGAATGACATATTTTGTTTAAAATGACTGAATAATATGGTGAAAATATAACTTTATATACGGCACCCCCACCAAATTGACAAATAGGTCCATGTAGAGTTGTATGTATGTATGTTTTTATTATTATCAGAACGTTTTGGTTAGGTTATGCATCTTGTCGTCTTGTGTCGTCTTTTTCTGTCTCCTCATCATCATTTTCTCCCTTTTTTCAGCATCACTTTCTGATACTATGAGCATAAACACATAGACACATAGGGGGCCAACAGGTTTTACAAAGGATTTGGTTTCTTTGACACAGTGCAGTGTGAAAGAGAAAATGTAACAAATGTTGAAATTTTGTTGAAAATGTTAAAACAGTGCCGTTAAATCAGCACCAGTTAAAACAGTACCGGTATGCCGTGTCTAGGACATCACTGCTGGATGTGGTTAAAGAGATCTCTTCCCCTCACATCCACTTGTCAATACTTTGACCTCCAAAAGCACATACAGCTCCCATGATGCAACACAGCTGACATCCTGATTAGAGTAAGATGTGAATTCAGCAGCTGATTAGGTGTGTAATGATACGCAGTATCAGTTCAGTTCAGTATGGGTGTAAAAGAAGCAAATACTAAATGCTGTACAGTGTCTTAGGACAGCTGTACAGCATTCACATGTTTTTAGATGTGACAGTGGTTTTGTGACAGTCACACAGCTTCAAACTTTGTCATTCAATGGAACAGACGATGTCTCTCCCTTCATATACATCCCAGCTTCCTGTATGCACAGATACATTCAGGGACAAACACAAGGCGCAGTGCCTCACTCTCAATTTTGAAGCTGCCGACTTCGAATGCAGAACGTCTTCCTTCAGATTAATTGTGCCCCATACACTTTTAATTAAATGTCTTTGTGTGGTTCGATGCTGGTGATGTGGGAGTAGGTGTTAAGTACAAGAAGTGTGTCCTTGTTCTGTCTTTGACGTTTAATCAAAACCAGCCAACAGGATTTGGTGGAGCAAACCCAGAGATGATTCAGTGATTGTCAGCAGACGATAGCCGGTAGCATCTCTTGTGATGGAAACCGATCAGTAACCTGCAGAAAAACCTAATAAAGGGTAATGAAAAGCCCACTGTGTGTGTGAGACGCTCGACTCGCTTGCTCTGAATGGAGGATTTTGTTTTATTATTTTTATTCATAGAATTACACATTTTCATTTTCTAAACAAAAAAAATAATAATCAAATTGAGGACGTCCTTGTGTTTCTGGAGGATGTGAAGCCTGGTTGCCTGGATCTGTGGTGAGCATCGAACTTCCTTTGCCTCCGGTGTGTTGTAGGGAAAGACTTGGGCGCCCCCTGTGGGCAAACATAAAAACTGCCTCATTATACCTATTTCACATTTTCTCTCTTGAATCAGGAGAGAAAGTTGATTTTACGATTTGTCCTGGATGAAGAACTGAAATATTACGTTTGTAAATGGGATAATAATAAACATTGTTCATCTTCAAGTTTACTTGATTCTCAAAGTTGTGCTACAGCCTCTTCATATTGCTACTATTGAGCAAGCTTGATTTTCTTTAAATATTAAAACATATTAAAGATTATAAAGATTAAATCCTAAATCAAAGTCTGTTCTTCACTAAACCTGGAGAAAGCAACCTTTTCCAAAGAAACTGATGGTTTGTTAAAATATGGTTATTATTATTCTCAAATTGATTCCATGTTTCTTTTTTCTTCCAACAGCTAATTAGTCGTATTTTGGCACAAGAGCTAATCTGTGAATTTCAATTGAGCTTTCTAGTGTTTCCAGCTCTGCTTCTTGTAAACAAACTTATTCCAAAAAAGCATAAAAGCCCATTTATCATCATCAGTAGCTTCATCAGGGGCATCTGCATTTGCCGAGTTGCCTTCATGAAAACATTTAATTATCAGAGAAACGTTGAGATGAAGTAACAGAAAATTCATTGTTCCTTCTTTGAAAACACTTCTGTCGCCATATGTTTCATTCCACTGCAGCATCCTTAATCTCAGAAATGTCTCCATCTGTTTCAAGGTCGTTGATGTTGATGGTGCCGTGGTAACGGAGGAGGGAGGAAAAAACATACGTCACAACAAGGTCAAAGCAGTTTGGGGCTTTTTATTATAGTTTAGTTTCATTTCATTGTGATTTGTTCTCTGTCTAATTCAGTGAGTATTAATTTAATTTTAGAGTGTGATTTACTGGTTTCTATTAGTTAAATATTGTTTAGTTTTCATTAGTTATAGAAGTAGTTTTAGGTTTTTTCATACTAAATTAAACAAAGTATTGTTTAGTACTTATTCTTCAATTGATTATGTAATGAATTCTCAACAGAAGATTCTATTTTCAAATAAAATGTTTTCAGTTTTTCTCGAAGTACAACTGACTCTAGTTTTCTCCCAACTTCTCCTGTCGCCATTTTGCGGACTAGCGTAGCGCCACCAGAGGGATTGTTGATATGGGGGAAAAATCACTTTCAATCAGTTCTCATCAGTTCAAAAGACTAATGGATATATTCATAAACATGAAAATAAAGATTATTATATCTATAATTTCAGTGTAAATGCATGACATGGTTCTAGTTAGCTATAGTGTTTCCCTTTTAATTACTGTTTTTATTTATTTCAGTGAATTTTTTTTTCAATTTCAGTTCTTATTATTTCATAGGTTTTATTTATCTATGATAACTTTGTATTACTGGACCTGGGCAGCTCTTAGTGTTGCTCTATAAAAGGTGCATAAATTTGTCTTGTTTTATCAGAAGTGAGGAGCTTTTACAAGCCATTATTAAAGGTACTTTCGATATTTTTTAGCTGTCAGTCTTCAGTATTAAAGTAACATGCTGACTCTAAAATAAAACCCGGGTCTGAAATGTCATAAAATATCTAGAATAAGACGTGTATGTGAGCTGCAGAGGTGTGAAAACAGGAACAACAGAGTTCATAGTTTCAACTGTGTTACGTTTTATTTCTATTCTTTTCTGCAACAGTGATAACGCTAACAACATTTTGTTCAACATTTGCTTTGCTGTAGCCCAGGCATACACACACACACTCTCACACCCACACACATACGCACACACTTCCTTCACCAATGTATAAAACAAACTAGTATCTACAACGTCTGAATCCGATTTATACCGTAGGGAGTAATCTGATTCTTTGACTCAAACGGACACCAAGACGCCACACACACACACACACACACACACACACACACACACACCCCCACACACACACACACACCACACACACACACACACACACACACACACCCCCACACACACACACACACACACACACACACACACACTACTGCTAGACAGTTTAGGAGCTTTGCTGTGGATCACTGAATGATAGGACCAGTTCTACACAGCAGCACACAGTTTAAGTACAACTTTTATTAATACTGGAATCATCACAGTGCGTTTTGTTACATTAGCAGTGACTGAACAGAAAAAGGGTCACTTTTACAAAAAAAGGAAGACAGGAAAAATAAAAGTTTATATCAGTGACGAAGAGAAAAACAACCTTAGAAATCAATGAACAATAAATTAAAAGGAACATCAGAGGAAACTCAGGGAGACAAAACTACAGCCACTACTGGAGGGTAAGAAGGAGGTTAAATGATCGGGTGGAAACATCGAGTAAGCAGGTTTTCACTCGGGTCACAGTGTTCAGCGTGAACTAAGCGGCCCCCGTAGAAAATGTCTCCATGGCGACTTGGGCACAGATTTCTCTAAAGAGTTCAGATCTTCTCATCTTTCAAGAAGAAAGAAGAGAGCAAGAGTGACTACTGAGACGTTGAGTAAAGACAGTAAGACATTCACTTTAGTTACAGCGACAGTGGCACCTGGAGGCCCATTTGGCTACTTGGTTGTGGATGTTTGATGGGAACTTGCAGAGCGTTACATCATGAGCCCCCTAGAGGACATCAGTGAACCCTTATGCGGCCACTGAGGATCTACCTTTGTCATGTTCACTTCAAATGAGTGTCTAGCAGTGTGCATGTGTGTGTGTGTGTGTGTGTGTTGGGTTTGTTGAGTATGGGACTTCAAGAAGGATTGACAGATTGTGTGTGGGAAGTGAAAAGGAAGAACAGTAGGGGTTTTAACCACATGTCCTTGTGGAGCATAAAAACTCTTTCTCTCTCTCACACACACACACACACGCATACGCGCACAGCATTTTATATAGCTTAGGCAGATGGCTTAAGAAGCAGGAAGTGTCCAACAATTTCATGATGCTTCTTTTAGTCTCAGTCAGAACACAAAGCGACCTGCAGGATTTTGGACAAGCGCTGTAACGTCTTCATTTGGACGAGACACGTAAGGAGCAACGTCGCTTTCAAAATGTACTTCCACACGTTTGTGTATTCATGAAACCCACAAATTATCGGACACAAATGTTGTCCTGTCAGATCTTCTGTAGTTGAGTTCCTCACAGCAGAAATCTTTTAGCAACCTAAAAGTCTCTTATTGCATGAGGGAGGAGGGAAGCTGGAGATGGAGGGATGTGTTCATCTCATGGCAAATCTCAGCTACTGTAGCTTTAATCTAGAAAAATCTAATAAAACCTCCTTCAGTTCAGGAGGGTCTACGGGGAAAACACTGGATGAAGAACGCAGGGTGTAATCAGAAATGCTAGAGCTGAACAAGAGGCCTGTTGGAGCCACAGGACCAGGCGCTCTGCACTGTGTTAATTAACCCTCACAAAATAGTTTTCTCTTATTTAAACAATACTATTGTGAAGTAGTCGTGGCTGCAAATATGTTAAATAACAGACATAAAGGAAGAAGAGTTCAGATCATTAGATCAGATGCCTGATCAAATTTGATTTGTTTCGGGGTTATGGGGGAACTCAACCCTCGTTAGGTAGGAACCACATCAGGGCAGGAAAGATCAGGGCAAACCTAACTATGTCATAGTTGGCAAAGTAGCAGTTTTTTTTTTAAATTTTTATTACATTTTGGGTGTCATGTGGTCTGATAACAGCATTCTCTCTTTCAACATGTGGACGAGGCAGATAGAAGTAATTTCATTGTTATTCCAGTGTTTCAGGAGAGCGGCCGTTTTTATCATTTGCAGGTATTAATAGCAGCCAGGATCAATAAAATGAAACAATTCACTTTAAGTCCTGCAGTATGTTTTAGTGCTGGATTTGGTTGGAGATCGATTGAAAGTTTCCATGTCAACATGTGAAATAAACTAAAACCAGTGGCGGTTAACCCAGCGATTGCAAAATGTAATTTAATTAATTAAAATGACTAATTATCAGTCAACAATAGATATTTGGACGTTGAAGCTTCTCAGAGTTGAGCAGCATGCATTGCTGCTTGCACTTTTGAGTTTTGTTTTTTTTTTCAGCATGGAAGCTCACGGAAAAAAAAACAAAACAACAAAAAACAATCATATTAAGTTGTTTTTGGTCTGCTGCCAAGAAACGTCTCAAAAAACCTGATCAAAATTAATTAAAATGTAATCTAGCATAGAGATAGAGCATTAGGCGTCCATCTGCTTGCCTGGAAAACGGCTCCCGTTAGCACATCCACCAGGGAGACGTTTCCCCCGTTAGCAATTCCAACTCATACAACAGTCCACCCAGGACGCAGCACAGGCCCACAGTTTGCACCTGTGCACGCATGCAAACCAACAGGAAGTTAATAGATATAAAGGGGATTGGTGAGGAATGAATGAGAAGGGAAAATAAACTGAGCACTAAGCGAGCATCCGCAGAGGACCGAGGTGGAAATTAAGATTTCATCAGAATTATTTTTCATTAGCTTTAATAGACTGAGAGGCACAGAGAGACCAACTACGGTGTTTTGGGGCTCCAGTCAACCACCGTGACAAGCACTGTTTTTTTTTTTTTTTTTTTTTTTACTTGTCTGCTGCTGTACGGAAGAGATGAAGGCTCAGAAAATGGCGAGAGGTTACGAGATGAAAACCTCAACATGGCGGAAAAGAAACATATCTGCCTGCTTTAGCTTGCCAAAGAGTGCAAAGAGCAATTTGAGAGCGAATGCAGAGTACATGGGGCCATGTGGGAACATGCATGTTGGCACAAAATTCATTTATGTTCCTTCCTATGTACAGACACGCTGCAGCTTTGCCCGTCTTCTGGTTGGCTTGCTGTTATTTGCATAGCGACTCAGAAAATGACAAAACTGGAGCAAAAATCAATTTAGTATGTTGGCACAGGCAGTTCAACACAAAATAATCCATCAAAGTAAAACGTGATTTCCTTGGATTCCCTGCTGGTAGGGCTGTATTGAGATCTTATGGAATAAAAACCTGCGATATTACACCAACATGTCTGTCATTACAGTCTGGCTGTGTAAACATTATCCAGTTAACCACATCTGGATAAGTAGGTTTATTTTATTATGTAAAATGAGCCTTCTATTTTGTATGACACTTTTAATTTGAAGCACTAGAGAATAAAGTTATTGAGCTATATTGTGTTTGACAAAGTGGGGGAAAACCTAGAGCTGGTTGGGTTGACCAGCCCACTTGGTTACATCAGCACTGCTCTACTTTTAAATAATTCCTGACAGCATTTTGGATAATTCAAAGAAAATAAAACACTAGAGACAAAGTGACAGATTAAGTCCCCAAACCAGCTTTAGCAGGTCAAGAAATCTTCAGCCAGTAGTTGGTAAATCCCCTGCTCTATTTTTTTTTCCACTCATTGGATCAGGAAAATAATAATGTTACATTTCCGATCTAATAATGGAAGCAGGCCGAGCTGGAGCCTCCACAATGTGGTGAAGCTGCATGAAGTTAGCCTGAATGTTCACTGTGTCTTCAGTGAAACTATTATTCTGAGAGTTAAATCGATTATGAGGTGTCATCAGTTCCTTTTGAAACACATTAGTACTTTTAATTGGAATTAAAGTTGTTTATTACTCCTTCACGAACAACATACAAATGTGTTGCTAGCGCTGCAAGAACACCAACACTGGCTGACCATGAGCTGCTAACAGTTTGCTTCTTGTCAGGGATAAAATAAAGGGCTGTTTAGTTAAACAGGACAAACAGTCTAATGAATCCAGGCTATGTTCACTCAGTTCTACTTTACATTTTATTTTTCAGATTATTTAGAGCACTAATTTGTCAGTTAGGTTAAAAAAAAAGAGCAGCTTTAAAATGAGATCATCTCGCCTCATTTAATATTTCAAGAGAAAAGTGAGTGCTCGTCTTTTTAAACCAGATCCCTGTGAAAAATGACAAAATCAAAACAGTTTTGCGAATGAGTCATTTGTAAGTTCGTAAAAAGCAAATAAATATGTAACACTTAATTTTTTTATATGGATTCTTCCCCTCGGTTTTTAGGTGGAAACATTTAGCAGACACTGCAGGAGCTTAAAGAAATGTTCAAATCAAAACTTTCCACTGTGGAAGAACTTTCAGAGGATAATGATAATTATACAGAGAGAAGAAAAGTGGTGTTTTAATAGATCAAACCCACAGTGAAAGACCATTGTAAATGGAAATTCAGGTAAACAGAAGTTAAATTGCTGGCCTCTGATTTCCACTGGGTACTTATTGAAGTTTAACTCTGAAGCTCTGGGACTGATGTGGACTTTATCTCTGCAGTACATCCATCAAAAGCATCTAGATGTGTAGCGACAGATAATCTAAATACATGAAAAAAACCCATCTTTGCCTAAAATGAGATGTACATTGTGTAAATGGAATCAATCTGTCCTGGCTTTCATTCTCTCATTTAGTTGTCTCACAGCAGCAAAGTGGGATAAAAACACACACACTGTAAAAAAGGCATTAAAATAAAAGCAATAGGGGAAAAACTCCTGGAAGAATTATTTGCTACTAATTTCCAAAATGCAAAGGAACCTCAGGAATGCGTAAGAAAAAAAGTAAATGAGTGCTCATATTAATGCTTATGTTCAGATCACTGCTGGAGACATGTGCAGACATGGTGATGAAAAGTTTATTAGCCTAGAGATTGACAGACAGCCAAGGACACATCCAAACACACACTCAGTCTCAGCGCCTTACATCCACATGTCACACAGCTCAGTTAGTTTGTGTTACAACTGGACTTTTTACCTCCTATTTTTACAATAATTAAAGCAAGATCTAGTATTCCAACAGTACCAGTAGAAGGCAAAAATAAAATAATTTGTTATTTTTTAAAGTAAACTAATGAGATATTTTCTAACAACCCTTTACACCAGATCTGTGCTCCGGATTCAATTTTAGAAGTACAGCACATACAGTTACATACGTATCGTATGAACAGGCAGTGAAATGCTCATTCCACACATCTTTTCCTCTTCCTGTCAACGTTAACAGACTCATCCGTGTCCTCCCAAACAGGCTCCACCTATTCTCAAATCTAAAAGATCAACCTTTCATAATGTTTTGTCCTGAGCTTAACCAAAGGATTGGCACAAAACTAAGCCTAAATGTGCTCGGTGCCTTGTTAGTTTGTTTGCTTTTTTTTCTTTCTTTACGTTTGATCTTTTCCATTGAGCACTGAGAATTTATATGATGCCAACACTTTCTCATGTCTCATCTGGAAAACACTTTGGCCAACTTTCTTGCACTCTTAATTATAAAAAATAGCAAAGTAAATAGTTTTTCAATACTTCAGCTTTGACAAAAGTCTCATTCATTAGAGATGACCTTTAAAGTATCCACACCCCTGTTTAATTTAGATCTTTTTTTTATTTATTTAATCAAAAGTTTTTTTCTGATAGCAAATGTAACAGACAGTTGGGAGCATGGCTAGCTAAAACGCACCAACCCTACGCGCTAATCATAAACTGCAGTTTCGCTACCAGTACAGCATCTACACCAGCACAGTAGCAGAGGCTAGTGCTAACATGCTAACTTAGCAGACTACAACCCTGGAGCACCAATTTAATTTTAAAAAACGACTTGGGGGTTGATGCCAAAATGTTTTCAAACTTCGCTAAAGTGCTAAACAAAAAAAGAACAAAAAAAATGCTGTTATTAGCACATTAGCTTAAATATGCCTACAAATGTTAAGAGGTGTCTGGAAAGATAAAACAATGTGAAAGAGGTATCATTTTTGAATAACAAATCTATTTTTACTCATTTTATTGAAAAATGGCACAGTAAAAATTATTCATACCCTTATTAATTGCCAGTGGAAAAGAAATTATTAAAATTCCAGCAGTCCAGCAATTTTTATGACTGCTGACCAGATTTTTTCACGCTTCCAATTGTAGATTAAAATGTATCTTTGGAAAGTGTTTGATATTGGAAGGCCTCTTTACCATCACCCTAATCTTTTGCTCCCTCCACAGAATATCTATCAGATTCAAGTTGAGACTCTGGCAGGGCCACAATAAGATGTTAATATTAATTCCAGTTAGAAGTAATATTAATTTCTTTTGTATCTAATTTTTTTTTTTTCTGTCCCAAAGTACCAGCTAACACATGACAGCAAAGCTAACATGTTTAGAAGAAAGCTCTAATACCTTCAACATTTGATGCCTTGGTGTCTAGAACAGTGTCCACATCGAGTATCGGTCTACATGGTAATCATACCACTTTTTCTATTTATAAAATGAAAATATATTTCAGTATTCGAAACTGTTAGCTTTTGAGACATTTCTGTCTAACTTTCTATCAGAAACAAACTCTTTGGTTGACTGGGACTAATGTGAAATCTGAATCTGCCAAAGGTGTGAATAATTAGAGGTTCATCCTTACTTCGTTTTTAAGAGTGACTGTGTAATTACACTGCAGTGTTTAGCATTGAGGAACATAAGTGACCCAGGTTCTGTTTTAAGATAGGGCTGGTTCAAAGCTTGAGTGTTTCATCCACGAGCTGATATTTTTGTGTTGCGTTTGTGAGCTCATGGAAAACTTTCAGCATTCTGGAGATCAGGTCCTACAGCTTCTCTATGGTGTCAACATCATGAGATCAATTGAATTTTGAATGACTGTTGTACTCGTTTAACTTTTTTCAGGTTTTATTCCCACCAAATTCCAATCAAGTTTGGCTAATTCTTTTTACTTGCACTCAAATGAAAAACATAAAGTGACGTGCATTTCCTGAGATGGTGCTTTAATTGTTCCACTCGATGTGCTTTACAGTTTCAGAAGTACTTTTCCATTTTAAAAGTCGGCAGATTTACATCTAGTTTTAAGGTAAAAGACAAAAAAAAAAAAAACTGAAAAAAAAACTCAACTTAATAAAAATAAAAATAAATCTCATCTGGATGTTTTAGGCCTAAAACATATTTAAAAAAAAAAATCCTCTCACTCAGCAAAACATTGTATTTTTCCCCCCAGTAAGTCTTCAAACCTTAAAATACCTGTTCAGGCAAAAACTCTTCAATGTCAGTCCCATCCCGCCTCCCGCCTTAAAACCTGATCCATCTTCAGAAAATATTCATACATTTTCTCATTTAAGCAATCGCTCCAGTGCCAGCAGTCTTCTTCACATCCTCTTTACCTCTCCCTGCCTTCTTCTACTTTAATGTATTAAATCATCTCCTTAGGACACAGTCATTGTTTTCACTCCTTTTCCCCCTCCAGCACCCTTCCACACATACAGCATGACTACAGCAACATCTACTGGCTATTGTACAGACTCTACTCTCATCAAAGTGCTTACAGTTTTTCTTTTTTCAATTTTTTTTTGTCATCCACTTCATTTAATAGAAAGAAACTGGGACAGAGCGAGATAAAGAGAGAGAGGTGCATGAAAAACCCATGAATTCACAGTCGATGTGTAATTTAGCATTCCTGATGATTGCCTGAATGGGACAAAGGAGAATCTGCAATCCTCCGAATCCAACCGTTTCCTCGAAACGAGAAAATAAAACACATTTATTGCTCCATTTCTGATTTCACTTTTTTTTTCTTTGTTTGTTTGTTTTTGTTATTTTTTTTTTCTCTCTGCATCTAGAAAATATATATGAATATATCTATAGGCCTGGAATAGGTCTCAGAACTTCCCGTACAGTGGTAACAAGGTAAACGACGTCACGATATAAACGAGAAAATACGCACACGACACAGGAGAAAAAGAAAAAAATAAAGATAAAAGCCCTGCCCTCGTTGGGTAACCGGCTGTCCCGCAGCAGAGCTCTACCCATCCCCTCTCTCACACACACACACAATCAACCACATATACCCACACACTCCATTTTACATTTTCTGAGATGCATACGGATGTATGCAGAAAGAGAGCGAGAGAGGGGAAGGAGCAACAAGTACGGCTCAATGCCAACACCTTTTTTTCCTTTTTTTTTTTTTTTTACATCAGCGTGAACCAGAGTGGGCCTCTGGTTTGTTAGCTCCCCGTACTCGTGCCAAGCAGTTCGATGGCCTTTTCAGCACAGCGCACCGTTGTCCAGACGACCTGGCTTCAGCTGAAGCCAGTTGCGATACGATCCGAGTCCCCCACCTCTCTGTCTCTCTCTGGTCCTCATCAGCCCCCTTCCGTCAGTCTTTCAAGTTGGATCGGCCAGCTGGGCTAGTCGGACAACAGGACAGGGAAACGGGTTCAAACAGAACAGAACCCAGCGCTCTTCTCTCTTTGCCTCCATTTATTTTCAAAATCACTTTTCCTGTGAGTCGTTCCGTCCCTGTCTGACGGTGTATAGAAGACAAACATGCGTCCAACACACAATAGTTATAGCGGCCTGCTAGGTCAACATGAAGTATTTCACTTGTACTCGTCAGCATCGGTTATGATTACTTATGTTATTGTTATATTAGACTGTATATCATTTACTCTAAAGGTGTCTTTAAACATTTTCTTTATGGACATTTTTTTTTCCATTTTTATTCTTCCTCTGTTATGTTATAGCTTTTCCAACATGGTTATGTTTTCGTGTACTCACTAGGTGGCTGGGTACTACCACACCAACAATTGACCTATTGACTGACAACCCTTCGCATTTCTCTGCTGATCACAATATACGGGGGGCTGAGCGGTCGTTGGAGACCGTTTTACGAAGGCGAACTCCTCTCCTGATCGTGGTCAGCATGTCTCCAGACCCCTCGGCCCCTTCCATCTGAGTTTCGCTCGGGCCACCTGGCGTTGGGGTCGGGTCATCTGGGAGAGCGGGGAAAGGGAACTGACCCTCACCGAGGGCGTGCGCGCTCGCTACCAACTCGCCGATCTTCTCCACCAAGCTGTGCCGGTTGGCCGCGATCATCTGCTCCTCCTCTGATCCGGCTGCTGAGCCTGACACCATGCAGTGCTGCTGGGCATAGACCTCCAGCGCTGCCCCGGAGCCCCAGGCAGTGTTGGGCAGGCTGAGGCGCTTCGGTGATGCCTTCACATAATCGAGCCCTCCTTGGCCGTCCTCAGAGCCGGTGAAGAACACACACTCTTCACTTCCCACTCTGACGGGGACGCTGCCTCCTTGCCCTCCCCCCGCGTATCCACCTGCACCAGGTGAATGTGAGTCCGCGGGAACAATGGGTGTTTTGACAGGCACAATGGGTGGTCGGATAGGGATGGGCCCCGCACTGGACAGTGTACGCCGCACCCCCGGTTTGGTTGATGGGGTTCGACGGATAGTAGCGGTGCCCGGAGTCCCTGGTCCTCCTCCTCCTCCAGCGCCACCTGGCTGTCCAGGTATCCCTTGAACTCCTGGACCAAGAACACCACTGGGCAGACCAGCTGTACTGGCTGGCCTTTTGGTCTGGATCATGCGCCTGTAGTTCTGGGCAATGTTGGAATGGCGAGGAATTGTAGAAGACTTGTCAAACTCTGCCTGTCCATCTGGGCCTTCGGTATCTCCGTTTACAGAGTAGCAGTCGTAATCTGAACCTGTTATTGGTATGACAGAAAAAGAGAAAATTATGAAATTTTATGTTATTCAGTATTTCTGGTCCCCCGGAATTGGTGCTCCTCCAGACCCCTGATACGTTAAGTTTGGCCATCTTTCCCACTGTAAAGTCCCCCAGTCACCCTATCGTCACCCAGGAATCTGAGGCTACACAAATTTTACTTGTCTGGTGGTTAGTTCCTAATCAAAGGGTGAAACAAACAGAGCAATGGGTAAGGAAGAGAATCAGTAAAACCAGAGCAGAGGAAAGAAATTCACATAAACACTTGTTTGGGGGAGAGAAAAATGTTAATTCTTTTACTTTTTTTTTTTTTTACCAGTGTTTCACTGAGAAGTGGCTCAGATAATGAGCTTAGCAGATGTGCAGTTTGCTAATTCCTGCTGGCTAGTGTGAAGGAGCTGAGTGGAGGAGACCTAGGCAAGGGCTGATCTGTGAGGCTGAAGTTTGGGAACTGCATCTCTGAGGAGGAGCTTCGTCCTGGAAGGCGGAGCTTGGTCCAGCCAGGTGTTTTGCACAGCTGAAGGGTTGCCATGGAGGTTAAAGGATTTCTCAAACAAGCACAAAAGAATCAGGGTAACATTCCAGGCATGTTTTTGATGAGGAAATAACATAACTTGATGTACATGTAACATCATGACATTGATTTTACATAATACTGCTCCTTAAAACTTTTCTACCTATTTTTATCATTCTACAGTCATGCATTTCTGTTGTTCTTGCCATTTTATGTAAACAAACACAAACTAGTGAAGCAGAAGGGAAATAATGCAAACTTTTTAACGCTTATATGAATAAAGATCTTATGAAATATTACGCCTGTCTTCAGCCCCGGTGAGTCAGTGCCACAATCACAATTATAGCAGAAAGTCTTAGTTTTATTTTGGCACCTTGTTCCCCAAATCTTCTCTTTGCTAAGTAGCTCAAATTCAGTCCAGATTGCATGGAGATTATCTATTCACAGAAATTTAGTCTCAGATTTGAATCGAGCAGTTAACTGACTGGAACAGAACAGAAATCCATTGTAAATTTTGCTGTATCTTCAAGGTCTCTATCTTTTTGTGACATGGAGCAAAAAAATGCTAAAAGACAAAGAAAAAGGGTTTCAGCTTGAAGAACTTGCGTCACTTTTTGTCATTCTTGGTGTATTTAGTTAAAAAAAGTCCAAAGTCTGCTTTTGAGTAAAAGTGAGTCAACAAACGTATTCCTGTTTAATATGGGATTTAAAAAAATGTTCTTTTTTAAATCTTTTAATTTGTTTGTAATAATTTAAAAATAAAAACAGTTCCATCTGTTTGAATCACCCGTACTGGCAGGCCAGTATTTTGAAGTTTCAAGATGAGTGCAAGGTTGCATAAATACTGAGAAAAATTTAAACTCAAGTAGAATCCATCATTTAGGTGGCTTCATATGGCAATGGCTTTTATAGATTTTTTTGAGGGATAGTAGTTAAAAGAGGGGCATCATTATTCCAAATACATACCACACTTTTCAGATTTACGCTTATTGCAACTATTGAACGTTTTAGTTTAAAGATGAAAATGTAAATAAATAAAACATCCAAGGGCAACTCATGCCTTTGAGATCCACTATACACAAAGATATGAAACAAAAAATATACTGGAGTTAAAATTCTTAATCACACAGAGGAAGCCATTAAAATAGAGAGGAAGCACACTCATATGGGAATATTATTCAGTTTTATATCGGTGTATTTGTTGCTTTGTTGCCGTCAAGCAAACCATCAGGATCCAGCCGTCAAAAAATATGCCCGCTGCCTGGACTATTAAATGAATAATTCAATTTATCTGTTTTTTGTAACACAGAGGCGAGGGATTCAAGTGAAATTTACTACATAAAATACATTTAAACCACAACAAAACAAAACAAAAAAAAGCAGCTCAGCATTTCTTGATAACATCCACAGAATAGTGAAGATTGTTCAGCAGCTGCTTAGACACTAGCAGAGATGATAAACATTAGTCAGGTGAAAGGTAATAAACGAGGCACGGCGAGATTAAACGCTGCAGCAGAAGAGAGGCTCACCTTGTGAAGGGATGGTGTCCTCGGAGCAGGACGGGGTGGTGGTCTCTGTGCTGTAACCGCTGGAGTACTGCAGGGAGTCCCGGCTGCTCTTCTGCTGCTCCACGCTCAGGCCCCGGGTCAGCACCATGGCCAGGTCACTGGCTGCCGGGGAAACCTCCTCGCCGTGCTGACAACACACAGGAAAATCAGGACTGCCATGTTTTTATTGAATCGTTACGGATGCTTTGGTTCAACCTGAGTCTCTAACACTGTGGTGACGCGGAGAATGCAATAAGAGAATAAAAGAATTTGAGTGGAACTTGACAATTTTATTTAATTATTGTATTTATATTGTGTTTTATTGATGGATGTCACTACTTTTAATATATTCTTTTTATTCCAACAGATTTCATCATTGATTTTTCTACACAATAATATGCTGTTGGTGTGCAGCATTTGTTTGTAAAGTTCTATTTGAATACATTGAGACTGGAAAAAATTAAGTAAAGACAAATGAATCAATCGTTCTTATGAACGGATGTGGGTGTGTAAAAGGTAAATGAAGCTCAATCACTTCCTTTATTTTAAAACATTAGTTTTTTTTTTTAAGTTAAGCTGAGTTTGTTGTTAGAAAACATCACAATTCATAGATACAAATGTAAGTATTTGCTATACAAATTAGTGAAACTAGTAATAATGACTCGTAACTCTGACCACTAGATGTCAGGAAAGTGCTGCCAATGTCCTTAGTGGTATGTGTAGAATATGCATCAACAGGCTTCAGGTAAACATAAAGCTTGACTGTGTGATGGTTGAGATAAATTTGCAAACAAAACTCTGGAAGTGGTTAATGCTATTAGCTTCAGTTCTCATTCAGTAGATTCATCAAAGACGTAAACTTGTTGCACATTCCAACAACTGACCATAGTATCTAGTTTATATACTTTGGATCAACATCATTAGATTCTTTTTCTTTGTTTTCTCTTTCCTTTGGTTTGTTATTTTGTTTGTATTTCCTTTTAATTCATGTAAAGCACCTTGAATTGCCTTGTTGCTGAAAATGTGCTGTATAAATGAAATTACATTTGACATAATATTTATAACAACAAGGCATTTATACACAACAATAAATTTGCATAATTTTTTATATTATTACTTTCTAAATATAACTTATATTTTGGGTCATTCGGCTCACTGCTGCCCAGTGTTACCTTGGCAGCGATGCTAGCAGGTGTCATCCGGAGCCTCTGGCCCTCTTCTGGGTGTGACGCTGTGGCATATCCATGGGAACCCGGCGAGCCCTCACTCTCTCTCAGCCTATCCACCGGCTCCTTTCTTCTCTGGACCGGAGCGGCGGCCGCGGGCTGCTCGTACTGACCTGCTTTGGACCAGTCCTGAACAGTTGAGGGGAATTAGTAAACAGCAGAGTTAGCACAGGAGACCTGTCTGCTGCCCAGCAGTTTGATCCGCTTCGCCTGGATGCTGAGAACATGACCGAGTGTGTGTGTGTTTTGGAGCATTTAAAGGTCATATGACGACAGCTTGTTTTTTGGGGTTTTTTGCTGAGTCATCAGTAGGTATATCACACAACCAGGGAGGCAGGTGAGGGTAAATTAAAAAAAGTAAATAAATAAATAAAAGAAGCATGCATGCACACACAGCAGCCCATGATGAATGTTTTTAGAGAAGCAAAGCAATGAGTGGAAAACAAATCAGGTAAGGAAAATAATAAAGTCATCTGAACTCTGCAGAACATATCCAACTGGAACGGAGGGAAAAGGTGGAACTGGAGGAAAAAAAAAAAAAAAAAAAACAAGGGCAAGTGCATGGGCAACAAACCTTCCACATGGGAACCTTTGATGTGGGAGAGGAGGAGCTGGATCCAGAGGGGCGGATATAGGGTGGGGACGCAGGAACAGGAAGAATGACAGAGAGAGGCCTGGTGGAGCCAGAGTGAGAGAGAGCGGGGCGGAAGGTAACGAAGGACGAGCCAAACTGCGGGATGAGAGACACGGTCATGTCACCAGAGAATGGAAAAGCGGCAGGCAGACATAGCGAGGCAGCCAGCTGTGGAGAACATGAGAATGTAAAGCCGCAGTCACAGACACCCAGCCTGAATCTGACAGGGAGGAAAAGATAACTGGAGGTGATCCTTTGTGAGGGAGGAGGCATGTAGGAGAAAGCCTACAGGGCTCTGCTGCTTCACATGGCATGACTGTGTTAGATGGCGATGGAGTGTGTTAAACAGTTCAACTGTTAAAACTTTGTTTTCAGGATAATTGTAAAAAAAAAAAAAAAAAGAAAAATTGCGTGCCGTGCGTTTGTATTGAGCCTTTTCACGGGACGTCACTCTCTTCAAAACCCCACCCACTCCGCCATGACGGCTGTCAAAACAACCACTGCGCTCCTGTAATGCACATATGTCAGAAAATGTGCACATGTGCTAGCCTAATATCGCTTTTATCAAGTTAATTTCGTGGTAATTAACTTAATAAAATCAAGTGCTGCTCGTTCGACTACAAAAACAAACAAGCATAGAAAGCAAACTTATCATTTTATTGTGCAACGTTTAATAAGGAGTTACGGCAGTGATGGACTCATAACGACGGTCAGCCATCAGTGTGATCATGGATTTACTGAAAACTCTTTTTACAAAGAAGATAAACATTCATATACTTCATAAGTAAGTATGATTAGAAATACATGTAACTTTGCATATGGAGAAGGTACACGGCTAACCATTAGTAACCATGGAAACAATGCCTCACCATGCAGCCTAGCATGTATGGAAAAAAGTGGTTAGCATCTCATTTGAATAAATTTTTAAAGCTGCTCTGGTGTCAGAAAAACGCTGTTTATGTGAAAATAATGATGAGGCGTAAATTCAGCTGGTAATTTGATCAACACATCAGGAGGGAGGATGAGTCGCTTTCTAAGCTAGCTGTTTTAAAACCCACCAACTATGAGCCCCGAACAGGTTTGTTACATTAGCTCGACTCAAACAAGTAGAGGCCTTGAATAAACTGGATGAAGCAACTTTGGAAAACAATTTCAATGGCTCTGTTCAATGGGAGTATCGCATCATGGCGCATCAAATGATTAAGTGATGTAGATGCAGGGAGTCAATTCAAAAGCTCTGATTGGATGGAGAGCATCTATTGCTGCGTTCATAGAGCAGGCGACTGTGACTCATACCCAACTTTTTAAGGCAGTCTGAAGAGTTTGTGCCACTTCCATACATGGTACTAAATGGAGACATTCACAGTCTGAACCGCCGCGTCGCGTTTTGTCTGACTTTTTTTGACTCTAGCCAGGTTTCCATCACCTGGGTTAACATGCGAGGGGTTGGGCTTGGCTTAGGGTTACTAGGTAACAAAATTGTTATGTGACACTTTAGAGGTGTTTGAAATGGGTCAGTTTGCAGACACCGGCAGGACGTTCATTTTTTGTGTGTTTTTTTGCTCCTGGAGTGTTTCTACAAAGGTACAGAAACATGCAAAAGGTGAATTTTTAACTTTTAACATTAAATGCAAAATGCTAATATATTCTGTACAGTTATGTCTGAGTGTGTTTTTTCATCAAATGGCCTTTTCTGAGTCTGTTGTTCACTTAACAATCAATTATTATAGTTGAAGATTATTTCAATCATTCTTTCATAACAATTAATCATTTCAGCCCTTGAGGTCAGTTTTCTCCTGTTGAGGTTGAAGGAGTTCCTGTGCTGTGAATGTTTCTGTGATTTATTTATCTAAGCTAGAAAAGGCAAGATGAATTAAACCGTCACAGATTAAAGCCTTTACTCAGCTCTATCAGTTGTCACATACGCACCAGATAACCGATGCTGTTTGATGTGAATGCAGAAAGATGAAATGTTGAAGCAGATCAGAGAATTTCCCAGACATGAGGAGTCGCATTTCTTTCTTTTATTTCGTTTCATCAAGCACAACTACATCTGTCCAGATGGAGAATGTCACCGTCAAAGATCCCCTCATCATTTAAACAAGAGAAGCCCATCATCTGATGCAAAATAAAAAAAAGAGAGATCCAAAGTTTGTATGATTGTTTTTGTGACTCCCAGAGTGTTTCTGTCACAATGTCCAGGAAGGAGAGCAAACAATTGTGTTTGTCAGTTGAATTAAAGTGGGATCATGGTGGAAACCTGTCATGGGGGAGAACTTTAGTTGTGAAGAAAGCTTTTGCTTCTAATCTTAGCAGAATTTTTTCCTTTCCACCAGTAAATCATCAGTGCAACTTCATTCTACTGCACCTTAAAGAATGTGCTTAAAAAAGAAAACGGCTCTGAAACATGAAAGAAGTTGCAAAATCACATTTTCGGCCGAATTATATGATTTGTATCACAAGCTGATGCACAAAACGCGTCAGATTCATACTCGGCTGTTAGCAGGAAAGGTGGTTTTATTCCAAGCGAAACAAAACAACAGCGGCATTTAAAAGCAAACAGATATTACATTAATTTCAGCCCAGCACTTATGTCTGAAGTGCTTTTCCTTACCACTCTAAAATAAAATCTCTGCAGGAGAAAGCATTAAGCTCTGGGGAAGTCAGTGTCAGGTTTGTGTTACCTTTCAGAAGTCTGCCTCAAGCTGGTTTCACATAACAATAAAATCGCAGAGCTTCCTGCCACCGCTGTGAGTGAAACGTGGCATTTTAACAGCGTGCGCTGCACGGCTCTCACAGCAACTTTTAGAACAGCTACAATTATCACAGTTGTTTCAGCGCCGACAACGCGGCTTTGTTCTCCTGAAAACACGGATGTGAATGAATGGGGAGATGTTTTGGTGAGAAAAGGAAACGGATAACTTTGACAAAGTTCATTTACAGCAGCTGATGATGTGGTGGATTTCTGTAAAGCCCAAGGGTACGGTGGCCCAGAAGGATCAATAACATGTAACAGCAAAAGCCACCACTTTTAAAATAAACTAGGTTTGTCTCCAGGTTTGTCAAAGTAATTGATAACTTGATTTTGTTGAGCAAATGGGTAAAGTTAAACTCGACGTAAAGATTGCTATAAATCTTTCAGATTTCTGAAATTTGGTGTTTTAATTTTTTGGTGTGTTTCAAGGAATTTCTTGTTTTTGTGTGTGTGTGTCAAAATCGATACATACTGTATGGATCCAGTCACATTTGCCCAAGTCGTCTCATCTCTTCCAACAACAGCGCTGCGTCAACATTTAGCACTTATCCTTGAACTTTAAACTCTGCTAACGTGGCGAGTGCAGTGACCCACATTAGCCCACAAGACTCACATATCTGGTGTTTGGCAAACAAATTTTATTACTGTTTGGAAGAACTTCACTTACGAGGCAGGCAGGAAGAAAAGGACATCCAGAAGGATGCCACATGCTATAGCTGTGCTAATGCTACAAGCTACATCACAGATGTTTTGAGAGCAACTATAAAAGGTAAGTAAAGCTCCTCAATCTGAAACTGTTTAAACCCCAGAAGATTTGTCCTGACTTCTAATGACGTTTATGTAGTTTGTTGTTTGTTTCATAAAAATAAATAAATAAAAATAAAAAACAGCCACATTGCACAGCATGGCTGCAGTACTTACAGTAGTGGGGGAGCTGCATTCACTGACTGACTGGCATGTTTCTGAAGCCTCTGATGATGCAGAGCTGGAGGATTTCTGGAATAGAAAGAAAAACATTTTCTTATCTAGTTTACCAGTTCTCAAAACTTGCAGTGCCATAATTCTTTTAATCCTTTTACTTTCAAATTCAATAGTTAAATTTTAATTTATTTTAACTTGTGTTTGCCAGGCATATTTATGGGGACAGAAATACAGAAATACCCGATTTGATATTTAAACTTCTTGTCCATTAGCAAGCTGCAGAAAAACACCATGAGCTAAGTCCTATAGCACAATGTGTCTGACCTCATTTCTAGAAAGGAAAAGTGACATTTTTTGAATCAGTTGGTCACAAGACAAGGTATTTATTAACATTTGTTTGACAGGAGTGTTTGGTTTGGAAATTTGTTGACAGTCCCTGAGTGAACCTCCGAGTGCTTGAGGAGGGAACTTGAGAACGGCTGGTCGAAATTAGCGTTCATTAATCGGATCAACCTGAAGCTAATCACCGCTTGATCAGCGGATATTGGGATATCCAGTATCCAACTTGAAACGGTAACACAATAAAAACACCGGAATAAAGTTTGTTTCGGTCAATGGCCTGTAAAGATGGCACTGAGCGACTGCGCGAGACAGAAACGTCTTATGCAGTGGCGTTGGTTCCAAAGCTCTATTGGCCAATAGGAGGAGCTGGACATAGAAGGCTGCTCTCCTCATTAACATAAAAATGCACACGGAGAAATAGGAAAAGGACAAACAGAAAAAGGAGAGGAGGCAACAACCACAGAAGGAGAGCTTGTATAAGGAGAAGACAAAATAAAAATGTCTACTTGACAAAAACACATGTTTGGGGGAAATGAAAAAGAAAATGTATAAATGTGTTGAAGGAAGCTTGTGTATAAGGACAAGGAAAAACAAAATATATATTCATGCTTTTATTTTTTAGTACGTCAGTTTTGGTCCTCCATACATTTGTTAAGGAAACGCAGCTAATAATCTTAAACACACTCAAAACTGGTTGTTTAGAGTGTGTTTAAAACTAAGAAAGCTAACGCTAAAGAAACCTAACGCTACTCTTATGCCGGAAACAAAGCACGAGTGAAACTCTATGGCCTATTTCTCATTCTTCCAAGAACAGAATTATGGCACTGTGATTTTTTTCTACAACTTACTAAAGGACAATTATTGATAGGGAGTGTTTAGATGTGCATGTGAACAAAATGGCACTGAATTCAGACTGTTCCAGTGTGCTGTCGTTGGTGAATGCACCAGGATTTCATACCTGACTGGTGATGTCCGAGGGCATTGGTGAGGGAGGCTTGGAATAGATGTTTGCATCTTGGGACACAAAGCCCGAATCGTGGGAGGAAACACTGCTGAGGCGGTGGGCTGCAATGCCCCCTGGTGGTGGAGGCTGTTGAGGCATGCTGCTGCGGTAGCGATAGGAGGAGGAGGAGGAGGAAGGTGAGTGTGGCTGGGACCCTCCTCCACCACTACCCACACCTGCACCTCCTCCCGACGAACGGGAGGCGCTGCTGTGGGCGCTGTTGACGCTGCTGCATGGTGAGGGTTCAGGGAGAGATGAGGAGGAACAGGGGGTGGGGTGGGGGGGCAGGGCAGAGCGATGAAGGGGTGAGGAGTGTTACAATGCCGGATGCAAAAGCGGTTATGATCAGAGGAACGTGGTGGAAGGTAAAATTAGTTATTGGTTAAAGTTTGGGAGAGCGAACAAAGAATTGGAGGAGGCGAGGAGAGAGTTTGCGATTGGTTGATGGGAATGAGTCCAGGAGTTTTTGCGAGTTGGTGAGAAGTCACACAACAGTCACAGTTAGAAGCAGGTTCCCCAGAAAGGAAAGGGAACCGGGGTGTGAAGCGTCCGGCAGGAGTGAAAGAGGGCAAATCACAAACCAGGTACAAGACAGAAGATAGACAAGCGAAGATGGGGAAAGAGCACAGAGGAGGGTGGTGGGTTGAAGAGGAGGAAAAGAAGGAGGGGAGGGGTAAACAGAGAGTGTGTGAACTCAGGAAGATTCAGGGAATAAAGAAACACTACAGGTGGAAGGGTGTGAATGTGTGATTTCCACATAAACACACTGATGCCCTAGATGCACACACACACACGCACACACACACACTGAGAGATTATTGTTTTCACCATCAAAATCCTCACACATCAATTTCTGCTATATGGGACATATACAGTGCGTTCATACGCCTGGACCATTTTCAGATTTGGCCTGTATCTGAAAAGTGTGGAGGTTTAGAAACATAAAGGAGTTCTGCTTAAACTGTCACATAATTTCCTTGTTCAATAAACTGCTGTCTGTCTGTAGTCTGGCACAAAGGTGCATAAATACTTTTGCAAGTCACCGCATTATTTACATCACAGTGAAGCTGATGTCAAATTGATTTGTGTTTTAGACTGTCTTTTTGTGAGCCGTTTTACAAGCTAAAACCGTGGGAATGTTGGAGTTCTAACAAAGATGGTGGCACAAACACCAACAATGTTCTGACAGACACAAACAGTACAAGTGAGACACTGACACTCAGGAAGGCTCCTCTTTCCAAAACTAGAGTTCTGTACACAGCACTGAAATACAGCTGCATCCTGGGGTTTTATGTCTTGCGTGTATGCGTGTTCGTGTATGCGTGTGCGTGTGTGTGTGTGTTTGTTTGCACCTGCACATGCTGCTCTTGCGTGAGCCAGAGCTGCTCGGGGACGACGGGGGGGTCTGGTAGGACCAGCTGTAATCGGAGCCCTTCAGATCCTTGATCACCTGCCAGAAAAAAACTGTCAGTCCATTTCGCACACGCTTCTGGCGTTTCCTACCAGCCAGGTGTTGCTGCAGTTCACCTGTTCACTGGCAGGGGGCAGTTTGTGGGGGTCGGTGGTCAGCACGGTGAGGTCGTCGATGATGGCCTGGAGGTGGGTGATCTCTCCCAGCATGGCGATCTCTCCGTTCTGGCCAACGGGACACAAACGAGGAGCATGATGTGAGTGACTGTCAGAATCCAGCCTCACACACCGATCAGTGAGGTCATCAACGCAGCTCCAAACATTCCTGACTGAATCGGTGATTTTCATTACATGTGAGCCGTCACCAACAACAGACTTGAAATATTTCCCTTAATGAGTGATGAATGATTGATTATGACTCTACATAATAGTTGAACGGTGGAGTTTTGGCGTCACTACAGATGAAAATAGAAAGCAGGGACTGCTGACCTGGTTATTGTCCACAGTAAACACCATCACTGCTCACAGGTTTGGTGCTTTAATGTTTATTATCCACTGAAAACTTTTGCGTGACTCCCACACATTTTCACAAGACGGTAAAAGTAAGCATATATTTATGCAAACTTTCACCCCACATTCATTTTAATATACCTGCCAAGTTGTGTGTAAAATATGGCGCCGCACGTATTTTGTGTGTATGCACGCTTTATATACGAGGCCCCACAATGTTTTTGTGTGCTGCACTTTTGAAAATTTCTTAACTTTTATTGTAAAAGAGCTGTGGGCTCTTTTATACACGAGGCCCAGGATGCTACCACTGAAACCTGAGAGGACATCTGTCACTATTTAGCTCAAATTTCTGACTTGGCGAAGTCAGGGATTAGTTTTAATACTGTAAATGTATAAAAACTGTATTTTTCCTCGCAACTTTAGCTTTTTAGTGTCTAAAGAGAAATTAAGACTTCACTATAAAGAGAAGGCAAACCCTGGACCTGAGATTTTATTATGTAAATAATGACATCTGGTTATTAATAATTGAAATTTAACGTCAAACATTTAGTACTGAAAAACTTTGTGATTATTTTTTCAGATGATTTGGTTTTATTCATAAGTCATAAGTGCAAAAATGTTTAGTAAATGGAAAAAAAAAACATTGAAGTTGAAATAGTCAAAAAAATGTCTGCTAGATGTTTCACACATCTCATTTGCATATTTGCAGGAAAATATCGACTTATTTGCAGAAAAAGAAAAGTTCACTGGCAGCAGAGCAGATTAAGAAACATTGTTTTCCTCTTGATTTAATCTGCAGATATGAAAAGATTGAATAACTGTTTCAATTATTATTATATTAAAGGGACAAAGAATGTAAAAACAATCTAGATATGGTGTGACTAAAATGTTGGTTGACAACCTGTGAACTGGTTCATTTATTGCCTTAAGCCTTTTGAGCAGAAGAGGGCGCTGTTGTTTAAAATTTCCAGAATGCAGCAGTTTCTTGGAAAGGTTTTGCCTTCATGCAGGTTTGTGTTCTTGTTCATATATTTACCACTTCTCTCATGTCTTTCTTAAAGAAACAGTGCTACTTTTATTTTCACTTACAAGTTTTTAATAATTTCCATCAATAAGCTAGAGATATTTTCATAGTCAGTGTGCTCGTGAACTTTGCACCAAATTTAGTTGAAATATAACAATAATCTGGTGGTGACCATCGCATCCTTTGTTTTTCCACCAGTTTACACTGAAAGGTAAACTAGGGTCCGATCCGATTGGGCCGGCCTCCTCCTCACCACCACAGGCTGAAGGAAGCCGATGAAGGTGCAGAAGCGCCCCCTCTCCTCCACCAGGGCACGGCGCACCGCCTGTTTCTCCATCTCCTCCATCAGCAGACACATGTCGGTCACATCCTGCATGGCGCTGTCCAGCTGCGGCTGCAGGTCGCCTCGCCCTGCCAGTAAACACAGAACGTGCTTTTCAGTGGAGAGAGGCGGGTTGACACAGATCAGTGCAGGAGAGCTGGAGAAGAGGACCGAGGAATGAAAGAAGGAAGTGGGGGAGATTACATCTGCAGTGACTTGCAAAAATATTCACTTGTATATTGTTTGAAGTTTTTGCTGTTGTTGTTGGACTTTGAATAGGCCATTTCAATGTAGCTCTTGGTCAATCTTCAATGTTGTACATCTGGAAGGCTAAGCTTCAAGCCTTCTGCTGCTCTTCCTTCAAAAAGAATCCCCACATCATGGTGCTGCCAACACCGTGTCACAGAGGGGTTCATATTTTATGTTATTATCATATTCTGCCAGATTTGTGGAGTGCATGACTAGCTGCCCTGTGGACAGATCCTCCTGCCTGAGCTATATGCAGCTTCTCTGAAAAATATAGTTTCATTAGCTAACCCTAAATTTGTGTCACATAATGAAATCATTTTAAAGTATGAATACTTCGCAAGTCACTGCAGCGTCAGGTTGTTGCCTCTTTGTACTCCAGTATTAACACATAAATAAAAAGCTTAGTGGAGGAGAATGCACTCTGATGTGTTACAGTGTCAGCACCGGTCCAATGCAACACCAGTGTAGCATGGCTGCCGTATGAAAAGTTACTGTCAAAATTCAACTATAATTTGAGGAATTTAACCTTTCATAAGAAGAAAAAATATATATATTCACTGTGTTATTCATTCACTAAAAAATGTCCCAGGTTAAAACTAAATATTTAATGAGAAACTGCAGACTTAGTTTACAAACTAAATATTTAGTATTGAACTAATGTTGTTAACAGAATATTTAGCATATGGCTAAATATTTAGCTTCAGTTGTTTTTTGTGTACCCTGTTCGTCACTGTTTCTTTTCTTCTTGACCTGTATAACATTTCAGCTTGCAAGCTAAAAATGTAAATTTTTAGTTTGAAAACTAAATACTTAGCAAAATATTTAGCTTAAAAACTAAACATTTAACTTACTACCTAAATATGTAGTTTCATGCAAAATATGTAGTTTGTACTTGAAATAATTAGCTTGTTAATTAAATATTTACTTTGAAACTGAGATGAATAAGTACCACGGGAAAATATATGTACAACTGAAAAATTTACCTCCATCTTATTCTGTTATGACAGGATAAATAACCCAAATTGTCAATTTTTGCCGTATTTTTACAAACAACGGCCCATAGTGTAGAGCCAAAACAAAACAGCAAATCCAGATGCTGTCTGGAAGCCAGAAGAGTAAACGTGAAATGCAATGCATAGAAAGCAAGACATGAAATGAACCTCTGTAGTGTTACAGCATGCAACACAAATCAGTGCAGATGTCAGTGATATCAGGGACGTAATGAAAGAAAGAGCTGCAAAGGAGTGGCAAAATGACAGCAGAAAGCCTGAGGTGTCACTACAAAGTTCTAACACCACGAGATACAAGAGTCACGAAGGAGTCAAGGAGGAAGTTCCATTACATCAGGCAATAAAGACGAGCTGCTATAGAGGCTGAACTCTAATCCATCCTCAGGGAACCGAAACTTTGATTAAAGTTGTTTAGAGACTGCAGTGCTCTAGAAACTTTTTCCATTTGAAGGTGAGGGTGAGAGGACACAGTAATCTGTATTAATGCTAATATTTATTAGCAAAGCTAAGTTACAGAAATAGTGTGGTCTGGAGGACCAATCACATTCATTTTCAGTGTCACGTCTTACTTTTTCCCTTCATTGCTACGTTCGTTCATCTCAGTAACATGTACTCATAATGTAAAAACCCCATCAGAATATAGCTTTCTCTAAGTTATTTTTATTCTTAAGGAAAAGTAAAACAATGTATTTTATTTGTAGCCCAGGAATATGATGCAACAAAAAATCTTCTTACTTTTTTTTTTTTTTTTTGGTGATCTAAGTAAGAAATCGGTCAGAAATCGGTGAACTGCTACAATAAACAAAGTCCAAGACGTGATAAAGTTTCATCGCTCACCTAAAGTGACAAAGTCAAATCAAACCCTCTGCTCTCACATCTAAAACAACGACAGACAGGATGACAAAGAGACTAGCTGATGACAAAGAGACTAGCTGATGCCGCAGAGCAGCGGTGAGTGACAGGCCAATACTTACCCTGCATCTCTATTACAGGGAGACAAAATGCCACAGGGACGGAGGGACAGAGAGACGGTGGCAGGTGAGAGCGGGGAGGGGCGGGGCAGCAAAAATAGAAGCAAAATTGGGGAAAAAAAGAAGAAAAGAGACAGAGAGAGAGAGAGGGAGAGAGCATAAATAGCAGAACTTATTGTTAAGGTTAGTACAAAGAAGCCATCAGGACAGCCGCGGTGCAGCAGGTTAGAGCAAAGCAACGCAGCAACAACAACTAAAAAGGAGTCCAGAACCAAATATATCACCATGCTTCAGCTGGACAAAACTCACACACAGCTGTTCAGTTATCAGGTTACACGGGTCTGGTTCTGTGTAGAACCCCATTAACAACAATCTTATGTTTGCATTTCATAGTGACATTTATATCATGGAGTAGTTATTAGCTAAGTATTAATAATAGTATTTTGTTGATTGTTTTATTGTTTATTTAGAATGAAACAGCTCTCTCTCTGTGATATTTTGAATCTATGAATTATTTCAGACATTCCACCAAGAGGAAAACAAAACAAAGGTAATACTTACATTATCTTAAACACAATTATTACTACCTTTAATCTGATTTTTTTTTTTTCCTAATTTCTTGGTGGAATGTTTGAAATAAATTCAAACCACACAAAAAATAATACTGTTATCAATAAAAAAATTATAAATAATCCATAATATATCTAAATGTCAACAAAAAATACAAACAAAATAAATATGTCAGATATAAATATTCATTATTTTTTAAATTAATTAAAGAAATGTCATAGATCAAATACTAGGAGTTGCAATATTATCAATTATCACCAGATGGCATCATAACCCAACCAATGATTTTATTTCTAACACTTCAGTTGGAAAGTTTGGTTTCTGCTTCCTGTTTGTTGATAACAAAAACAGCTTCAAGGGACAGTGCTATGTGTTTTCCAGGTTCATAGTTCCAATTTACAGAACAACCATGCAACTATGTTACCTTCAGTTATTATAAAACTGCTATTTTATTGCTAAATATAACTTAAAGAAAATTTGACTTTGTAGTTTAATGCCTTGAAATTGGGCCTCTGTGTCTTTAAAAACTCCTGCTTTGTCTGAAACTCTGCCTCCATGAGGTCACCACAACATGGCTCCTTTGTTAACCCATTTTAACAACATTTTTACAAGTGATACACTAAGAAGTAGCACATATAATTAGCACAGCACATGTGTAGTTCCACCAGGTGTTTGCTAATTGCTGCTGGCTAGTCTGAAAGAGCTGAGTAGGGGAGAGCTAACATTAAAGCTAACTAAAGCTCAGAGGACGAGCTGCGCCTCAAAGGTGGGGCCATTTCCACCCAGACATCTTGTACAGCTGAAGGTTGCCATGGAGATTAAGGGATTTCTCAAACATTGAATCAAAGCAACACTCCTCACTTGTTCGTAATGTCATTATAACATGATGCAGAGGTCAGAAAAAGTCAATTTTGCCTGATGCTGCCCTTTTAATATTGAGTCAGATTAAATAAATGTATTCCTTTATTTTGATTTCAATAAAACTCTGGTGAATAGTGATAGGATCCCAGAAAAAAATAACAAACAAACAAAAAAACTTCCTCTTCCAAAGTTCCATATAAAGATTATGATTGAGACCAGAGCAGGAGCGTCACTTCTGGTTACCTTTACGAGCTTTCTTCTGCAGCTTGATGGTGTCAGATGACTTCTTCTTGATCTCGTGGCGTGACCTCTTGTACTCTTGAAAGAGGAGAAACAGAAATGCTTTTACATGGGAATGCAAAGCCTTGGGGTAAAATCAACTTTCCTCGCGCTTCACATGTTAGCTTTAGCAGAACTGAGTCCGTGAACTGATCTGACACAAGCCTGTAGCCTTTTCACTGCCTGAAAGGAAAAACATTACAGTTGGAGACACACTGAAGATTCTCATTTAAGTCTACCCACAATGAAACAATTTGACAGAAACCATAAATGGTTGAAGGAAATATTTGTTAGTTTGAGAAAGAGAGAAAGTTAAAAAAAAAACACACACACACACACATTGAAAATGTGGTGTCAGAATCCATACAAATATCTGCTTATAAGGCAGCTTCCAATCAACAACTCATGGTATCAACATGAACTTTGAGCTGAGAGTTAAACTGCTGTGGATAAAACTGCAGGCCGTCACAATCACCTTCTGAAGAGGATTTAGCAGGGCAGCAGTCTGGTGTGAGTGTTTCTGTTGGTGTCTCACTGTGTTATTCTGATGTTATTTTGTTTGATGAAGTTCCATAATGCCCACTTCAAACTGCAAGATAGTTTTGCTGATTTTTGTCACAGTTTTCCCCTTCTGACATCAGAAGGACATCTTGATTATCGGGATGGCTCTTCAGATAATCTTAAGAGATTTTATTGCCATGTGTGGTGAGTGAAGAGTGGTCTGAACGTCTGGACCGCTCCGATCTAAAATCAGGCACATTCAACATGTTGAATCCTCTTGGCCCAATATAACAGTGAATGGTGTCCCATAAGGACAAATGAGAATCAGCCTGTTGAATGTGACAAGTAGCCAATCAGAAAGCAATGTGGACGGAAACACAGAGGAAAATGCAAGATAATCTAGAAACTCTGGGGGACGTTGGACACATCTTTGTGTTGTTTTTCCTCTGTTGAACTTAGTCCACAAACTATTGCCATTGCTTATTCCTAGAGAGCCACAGAGTTCTGTTTACTCTGAACTTAACTTTGATCCAGAGAGATTCAGCTAACTTTCCCATCTTACATCTGAATGTTCTTGAGTGAAATCTGTTCACATGGATGGAGACCACATCCAAAGTTACTATACACCAACCATTTCTTGTCATTATGTGAGGGGTCTCATACGTTTTGAAAATCAACCAGACAATTTGAAAATCTTGCCGTTTGTACCAGGCTTGAGTCCCAAACCAACAGATAAGGCTTCATGAATTAGCACGTTCAGCTGATTTCATGTTTCACCTTTGGCATGGTCCTTATCCAGCTGGTGGGCGGTCTTCTTCCAGTCTTCAATCTTATCCTGGAGAGGAGTGATCAGACTCTCCATCAGAGCACTGTAGGAGACACAGACAAGGAAGGATGGAAAGCATTGATCACTAGCGGCATCAGTAAAGGAGAAAAAGAGAACAACTTCACAATTGTCTAGATGTGTTGAGTTGGCAGCATTGGCGCACTACATTGTGGCAAACTGGACTTTCTTTTTGTCCATCACAAAACATGATTTAAAAAGATTTTAACAAAACTCTTCATGTTTTTTTTTTCTTTTTATCAAAGCAATTACTATTATTTTACTCTGTTAGTCTAGCTCAAATAATTAATAAAACGCATGTTTGCGGTTTTAATGAGAGAAAATCTTACGAGTATTATGGGTTGTGGGTATGAGTGTCTTTGCAAGGCACCTTTTAGGTAATCAGGATTGCAACAATATTTTGGAATGATTTAGCCCGACTTTTATTCCTGCACAACCGTATCGACATTAGCTGTCAATACGGTTGTGCAGGAACCATCATTAGCGTAATAGCTTTTTGTTGTGGAAAAGTCATTAAGAAGTATGGAGAATGAATCCAGAGGAAAGTGGTGGGTAGGAGTCGACTCTTGGAGAGGCTTCCTGAGTGGTTTATGATGCATACCAGTGGTTGTACTCAAATGCAATTCTTGAAATGTGGAGAGAGTAAGCAATGCAGCAGACACCATTCATTCAGCAAGACAAGACACAAAACATTTTTGTTCAGACAGATGAACTGTGTATGACCAGCGACGCCGGGAACAGAAGGAAACAAGATGTCTTACTTTGTGAACTGGCGAAGTTTGGCTTCGATGCTGCGATGTCTCATGCACATCCTGGTAAGAGCTGAACCGATGTCTCTGGTCGCCCCTGGACGGAAAGGAGAGAAAGTGGAATCAGAACAGGACACACACACACATAGACACAAATGCAACAAAAGTATTCTGTTCGTTTACCACAAAAGGCCTGTTTTAGTTCCACCGACCACAAATCTCAGGTCAAACCCTGCATTAAATTGTTAGCACGCTGTATAAAGACAAGACTCATAAAGTCATCGCACATTTCAAACAGACGGACAGCTAAAGAGCTTTTGTTTCCTTTTACACTCAGCATTTATACAAGAAAGAGATTGGCCGTCGTGGAGACGCTACACACACTCCCAGCTCCGACCAAATAAAGCAGTGTCCTGTGAGGGGGCTGCTGCGCCCAGAAACCCGTTTTCATGTGTGGCTAACCTGCTACTGTAAACACAAGTCTATTTTAGGAGAATAGGTCTATATGGAAAAAGCTGAGCAAGGAGTTTGATTCAATGGATGGCAGACATCGCTGACTTCCAAACAAGGTGCTCAGAGCTGCAGCCATCACAGTAAAGTTGGACCTGCCAACTTTACTGAATAGGGCTGAGGCTAAGAGTTGTACTGCACACAGCACAAGAACAATAAAATAATCCAAACTTTAGGTGAAACATGCAGTGGAAAGTTCGGATTACATCAATGAACAGGTTTCCTCCAGGTGTCACAGGCTACATTAAAACTGGAAAATGACTCACAATATCTCATGACGATGCTATAATAATAGAATCAATAATCTTGTAATCTGCCAAGTTTGTTTTTACTATGGGAGTGATTCAAAGTTTTAGTAGAGTTAATTGCAGTGTCTGTAATTAATTAACTGCATTTGGATCAAACTGTATGCATCAACAAAATGCAAAATATTTTAAATTCAAAAACCCCTTTTTGATGCTAAATTATTGGATAAATAGATATACAAGATCAGCAGCAAAGATATTTATTGTATTTAATCTGTATTCCAGATTTTCCAAAAAAAGCATAAAGTGCTAATATTGTTTGACATGTATGAGCCTCATGCCAGCAGTGTCAGTGCTGGCAGAAGCATTTAGATCTGAACAGCAACTTGATCGCAAGCAGGCAAATAAGAGATTAGAAAAAGCTACTACTGGAATTTGAGAGTTTTTTCTTGTACGAAAAATGGCAGAAAATCTGCTTCTTGTAAAGCAAAGTCTAAGAAGTGAAACCTTTTTAAAGTCAAGGCTTCCAGAGCAAAACAAGAAGTTTATACCTAATCTGTTTACAAATTGTTGACTGCAATAATCTCTCACCTTCTGTAGTTTATTTATTTAATGGTATATGTCATTTTTTTCTTTTCATTAAAATCAAAAATTGTTGCAGCAAGTTTGAATGTATAGTGGATTATTTTCTGTGACACAGAGGGTCCGAGTTATAAGTACAGCACAGGTCCAAATACATAAAAAAAAACATTTGCCAACAGAGTTGGTTGCTGGATGACTTTTAACTGAACATGGTGGAGGCCTATTTACTTTAGTGATCAGGACTGCCAGCACTCATTGGTTTGATCAATATCAGATCAATAGGAAAGTATAAGACATTCAGATCAGGTCAGAGAAAAAGAGATGTTGACGTCATCCAACCGTAAGTCTTAAGTTCAAACAACTGAACATGAGTACAAGTTGTTACTGTCCTTCACCTGATGCTAATGTCTGAAGGATCAATCTGTCATCTCAGAAGAAAGGAAAATTGATTAGGAGGCAGCAGATCCACTGAGGTTGAAACATAATGTGAACTGGAACCCTGGTCCCAGCAGTTTCGTAAAAACCTACCAGTTTTTCACGATTCTGCGATTGTGGAAATTCACACAAACTCAACAAATCCCCCCATTTTTTGAGCTAATGAGTTTATTGCAAATTTTCCACAGAAATGCTAACTCTTACCTGCAGGTGGCAGTATTACTTTTTCTACATTGCTACCTGAGCCTTTCCTGATTAAGTTCCTGTAGGTGATTGATATAAAAGGATATAAAAGATGTTTTTATGTCCAGTCTGCCTCCTTGTGCTTTTGTTTTTCATCTGTTTTTCTTTTACATGCAAATTTCAGACAGAATCTAATGATTAAAAACATCACAAAATATTTCTGAAGCAGCGCCACAAAACCAGCTATTCTGATTGGAAGAAATCACAAAAACAATCGTAAACTCCTGGAGGGACTGACCAGCGCTGCTGTCTGCTGGTTCTACAGAACCACAGACTGAGCAAATGGTGACCAAGCAAGATGTGCTCTAAAATCAACACCCTGTAGGAGCTGGACTGTAATTTGCTGTTGGATGACAAGCTATTGTCTGTATACTCAGCCGAGATTTAACAATGGTGGGTGAGAAATTGCCCACATTATTCATGCCAAGCATCATGGTTTTTGGGAACAGAACTCATTCTTCAGACTGAAGTGCCGATTACCATTCAGGATAAGAGATGTAAATGATTGGAACAGAGCAAATGGACAATAACAGCTGGAGTTGAAGAGGACTGTAGATGTTAGCTTCTGCAGCCGTGCTAAGATGGTTTCCACTGTGCATATTGAAATATATTTGGTGTCTGAACAGTTACAATTAGGGTTTCAGAAGGGGTCTATCAGCGGCTGTCCTCCCTAAAACCAACGGTTCAGTGTATTGAGCATAATGTTATCTGCACTCTATCACAGACATGAAATAACATCCTACAAAAATCCTACACATAAAGCACTGGAGTCCAAAGCAACGGCCTGAAGGTCTTAGCTCTTTCAACACACCTGAATCAAATGATGGTTCATTGGCAGAACCTTCCTTTGACAGGACACCAGCTCTTAAAGGTGCAGTACGTTACTTTCATAAATCAGATAGAAAATCAGCCTCTCCAGCTACCTCTTGCATATTTACATGACATATTATTGTTAATTAATATGCATTGTGCCCTTAATGAAATAAATATTTAAAAAATTACAAATTCAAATTCACAAGTTATTGTTTTAATTTGAAACAAACTGTCTGGGATATCATGACTGCCTTGCTCATTAGCACCTCAAAAATCTCTACTACGGTCATTGATCTGCCACAGCAGCTGGTCTGCTGATACTAACCAGCAGCCGTCTGATTAAAACAACCACAAAATATGCTCTCACTTAAGCTACCACATACCCTGAGATACCGCACACACACACACACACACACACGGACACGCGCACGCACACACACACACATATGGAACTATTTCTCCCATCCAGAGAAAAATCTCTCTTTCATAATTAACAAATTCTTCTCTCTTTCCTCTCATTCTACCCGGCAACCATTCCTTCAGCAGAACCAGCACATTTGTAGACACAGGCATGCTACGAAGTATTCACAATGCACGCCAATCAATTGCACACACAACTTCAGCAGCATTTTGAGTGGTGTATGCAGGTGTGTACGTGTGTGTGTGTGTGTGTTTGGAGAACCTGATTCGCTGTGATTCCAGATCAGTAAGAGGGTGTGAGAAGAAGAAGGATGACGTGGGAAAGAAAAGAAACAGGAAGAGCCTGAGAAGGGATGAGAAAGCATGAGGACGAGCGGAGTTGTCTTGCACATTTTAATGAGCTCACTGCTGGAGTGAGAGCCATGGGACCCGAGTTACAGCCAAGTGTGTGTGTATGCATGTGTGTGTTTGATCTCTGCATTTATGATGGTTCTCTTCCTGTTTGCCTGTTATTACCAGGCCTCTCAGACTCCATAGGAGATAAACAACTAGATGAGAACACACTATTCCCATCTGGTGCTACTGTGTGTGTGTGCACGTGTGTGCTTGTGTGGACGTGTACGTGTGTGTGTATGCAAGTCAGTGCTGGAGGAGCATAAAAACAAACTATCGTATCAAAATCATAAATAATAAATAAAATAAAAAATAAAAAACGTAGGGTGCCAGGATTTAAACATCCTGCAAGTTTCTAACGTCACAAAGATTCAGGAGACAAGAAGAAAATAAAGCTCAGAAGATTCAGAGGCACAAGAATCCGAATGAGTTTTATACGGAAAAGGTAAAACATTACAAAGGACATCAGCCAGACAAATTAGAGTCTTGAAAGAAGCTTAAATCAGAAAAATGTGTAATTCTGTGATACTTTTGCTTTGAATATCCGACTTTCTGATAATATTTTCCACAGTTAAACATGTTTTATCTAAACCAGGGGTCATCAACATGTTTTTTTTAATTTTGGACCCCAATTTTTAATTTGGAACAAGGACCCTCAAAAAAAAAAGAAAAAAGGAAATAATAATAATAATTCTATATATGTATTTCACAAAACATACTATAGGCTCAATTATAAGGAAGCATTCCTTATAATTGAGAATTCAAACCATATTGCACAGCTTCTTTAATTCCAATTGTTAAACTTAAGTTTGACTCCTAAAGTGAAGGCCTACTATTGTCACTGCCATCAACAAACTGTGATTTTATATAAAAGTAGTTGTTTGATGACTGAAATCATTATTTTATGTCCCTTTTGATCAATTTGAGACATTTTGTATTCATGTTAGTGAATATTTAAAGACATAGCTTATACAAAATATACAAATAATCTCTCATTAATCAGAAATGTCATGACTTGTTGAAGACTTCTGATCTAAAGCGTTCCTTTAGCTGTAGCTGTATGTTTGGTTTGTCATCCTGCTGGACTTTTAATCTCAGGTTATTTTCACACCTGACAGTTCGATCGACTCGGATCCATTGGGGACCAAAATTGCAACATTTGTTACATTTTCAGTTGGTGTGCTTTTTAGCTTTGGTATAAAACCACAAACCATTTGTCTCTCAAGCACTAGACTGTCATGTTTGTTTTGGCAGTATTTACCCAGAATGCCCTGTGCTATAGTCCACCACAGCTTGTGTTTGCTGTGTTCCCTTCCTGGCCTCTGACAAACTGCAAACAGGAATTTTCATGGCCTTTTAAGACCAGACAGAGAGCGCGCAAACTTCACTGAGCTGATAGAGTTAAGGCAACTCCTTCACAATTGTAGAATCCAACATTTAGCAAAAACAAATACAT